CCATATTAGTTCACACTATGTCAGTATCTTTTATGTTTGATTTATTTGCATATGTAAAAATGTTTTAATATTGCTTTAAAGACCTTTTGTGTGCAATAAACCATCTGTAGTCATATATTTAAGGAAAAAAATTTCCGTAGTGACGTCACCATCCGTCGGTTGATTTTTGTTTGTTTAGCAGACGAGTTTCCGTAGAATTCCAACCCCGGCCTGAACGTTCAATTGATACGCTAAATGCATTGCTTGTTATGCAAGTCACCAGCATTGGTAGTTTCCTTAACAATTTAATTTCTATCTGGATAAACAGTTTTAAAGAAAATACAATCTACAAGATAAAAAAATAGAAACTTTACATACATCACTAATTCTAGATGTAAGCATTGCGTCCTGACGCTTTCTCGTTGACACCAGCTTTGTATATATCATATATTTTCATGGAAACAAAAAGTTCTAGTTATTGTATTATATAAATTGTGATCTGATAAAATTATGATATAGTATGTGAAAATTATTTTGATTTTAGTTGTTAGATATGGAGAATTTATTATATGATTGCATTCGGACACAGCTCGCAAACACCATACGGAAGACGACGTGCAATTGTTGCTTAGTTTGTTTTTTTCAACGCTTCTTATCAACATTTGTGACGCCTTGCATGTATGTCCTTCATATATTCGGTTAGTTGTATTGTAATTACTATTTGTCTATCGTAGAACAGCAGAGTTACGGTCTAAGGGTTTTTTATGTTTGGTCTATTATTATGAGAATTGCAGTGAATGTGTCTCCGTTGTTGAAAAGATAATTAGTTTGGTATATACGATACTGCAGTCAACGAAAATAATCGGGACAGTCGTCTGGAAACTATATAGATGTGTGCATTTTTTCTTTCTTTTCTCTTTTTTAGCATGTAAATTGTACTTTCTACAAATATATCGATCAAGATAGATATTAATTGCATATTATGAAATGCAATTTGCGTATTCTTTAGATATAAATAGTCATAACTGCAAACGCATGCGCAGAAGCAAGGGCCTGTTAAGCAGTTCTCGACCAGATGGTAGTCTTACCCTGACAATGACGTTGTTGTGATGTCATGAAGTCGGACTTTTTGCTGCCTGAACGTCCGACTTCATGACATCACAACAACGTCATTGTCAGGGTAAGAAAAGCTTCAATTTGAAGGGGAGGCGAGTTGGCATCAGACGCCGCTAAATATTTTTTATGAACGTAGTGTGTGTGTGTGTGTGTGTGTGTGTGTGTGTGTGTGTGTGTGTGTGTGTGTGTGTGTGTGTGTGTGTGTGTGTGTGTGTGTGTGTGTGCTTGTGTGATTATGTGCGTGTGAGTGTGTTTGTATGTGTGTGTGTGTGTGCTTGTGTGATTGTGTGAGTGAGTGAGAGTGTGCTTGATTGTTGTGTTGTGTGTGTGGGTATGTGTGTTTATGTGATGTGTGTGCGTGTGTATGTTGTGCGTGTGCGTGTGTGTTGTGTGTGTGGTGTATGTGTGTGTGCTTGTGTGTGTGTCGAGTGAGTGTTTGTGTGTGTGTGTGTGGGTATGTTTGTGTTTGTGTGTGTGTGTGGTGTTTGTGTGCTTGTGTGAGTGAGTGCGTGTGTGTGGGTATGTGTGTATGTGTTTGTGTGAGTGTGTAAGTGAGTGAGTGTATTTGTGTGTCTGTGTGTGATTGTGTGTGTGTGTGAGTGAGTGTGTCTTTGTATGTGTGTGATTGTGTGGGTGAGTGAGTGTGTGTGCATGGGGTATGTGTGTATATGTGTTTGTGTGTGTGTGTGTGTGCGTGTCCGTGCCATGTTTGTAGTCACTGATAGAAGAAAGAGATGATTGTGACAGCCAAACAGAGATTGAAACGAATCAAGCATTTGTATGAAACGGCTACGGATGCCAGACAAACTAAATATTTAAATTTGTGAAGCGGCAATAAGGATTCTAACCGACGATTCAAGAATCCTGCTGGGATATTACTAAATATTTAAATTTGTTGATTCTATCCCTTGTATGAATAAAGAAAAAATTAAACAGACTAAGAATAGCAGGTGTTTTGATGAAATAAAAATAAATTTACACTGGCAGGGATTCCCACCAGCTATTATGCCTGGCCCCCAGGGGGTGAGACATGACACTGACAGGGCAGGATGAATATAGACTTTCGTCCCCGAACGCAGGCAGAACTGTGGATCTGTCTGAAAAGTTCCACATACGAGGGAATAATACAGAAACGCATTTATATAGATAAATTACTATGTTCAAATGTGGCTGGAATAACCAACAAAATGTTTGTCCAACTAGGATCACATCAGCTCTGTAGAAAATACTTATCTATTGATACTGTCAATGGCACGGAATATATTCATTTTTGTCCTAATAAGTGAGGTACAATGCAAAATTTACATTGCGTTAATGGCATTTAGGCAGTCAAAAGTTCATTTCTCTAGTTCAGTGTGTGACAAAGAAATAGATATTAGATATTTGACTTTGTCATATTCAAATACAACATTACTTTTGTAAAGGATGCGAGATTTTATTAAAACATTTCATAGAAAAATGTGAACCACCAGCATGTCGCCACTCACACCATCATCATTTAAAAAAAATCGGTACTGTACTATGATTATATAAAGCAAGCATGTACTATTCCGGCATTTGGCAGCGTTATATGCGATTCTTGTTTCTTTTTTCATTACCATAATTTTTATTCTTAATAATGATGTTTGTTGCTAACATATGAATCCCTTTTGCTTAGGCCGATGAATGAAAGAATTCAAGGCAAGATTTGTGTGTTTATGTAATGCAGTAAGAGTTGCCATGTCAATGTCGGATATTTCAAAAGGAAATGAATAATTTCCTTTGGAAATCTTCAATTTATGCACCTCCTGTCCATCTTCGGTCTATGAATTTGATCTTTATATTTTATTTAAACACAAAAGTAATTGCATAAACAATAATATTACCTTTGAGAAAGTCACTGCTATGAAAATACAGGAATGGCTTACCAAATCTGCATTAGCGGATTCGGAAATAAACCGACCACGAAAGGACAACAAAGGCCGGTCAAGGTGAGGATAACAAATTGCAATGTTTTCCCTTCATGTGTCGTGAAAAAGTAAATTTAGTACTCAATATAGATTAATAGATATATATGTAATGTACGAATTTGCGGTGTACTTGGTCAAATGTACGGGTATTACCGGGAAATTTGGATGGGGAGATAACAGTTGACTTTTAGTTTTTCATTCCTTTTCATTTTAACACGATTTCTAACAGAATTTTTGAGATATCGAGAGAAGTTTGGCAACAAGTGAAAGAAGGCGTAGAAGGTAGCCTTTATATTTATATAATGATTGCACAAAAATATGGAAAATCTATGAACAGTGCCCTACAGTTAGATAAACAAACTATACACTAATTCAGGCAAAAGAAAACATCATAGATTGAGGGTAATTTTTCTGCATAGGATTGCAACGATTTCGGTATCAATGGATTCTTCTCATTCTCTAGTATCCAAATTTATAGGTCAGTGTGCAGAATCCCCCCAAACCCCCACATTTTTGGCCCCTGATAGCAGTAGAATGGTACCAGGGAAATTACAGAATAAAATAGACAAATTTGGTAACGCTTAGCAACCACCCCTAGCATTGAGTACTTTGTGAAAACAAACCCTCGTTTGTTCGAAAACTCACTGTGCTTTGCTTACAGAGTTGCTGAAATTTTGCAAGAATCTAGTTTCTTTGCATGAAAATGCCAAGGAGCTGTGTTCCTGTTGGTTGTTCGAACCACAGCATGATGGGAAAGAAAGGATTAACCTTTCATACATTCCCAGTTGTAGTCTCACATTGACAGTGTTTAGTCAGTTATGGCCTGTGTTTAACATTTTTTTACAACCGTTGTATTTCATATTCTGCTCGCGTAAACCTAAGGATGGTCAGTTTGACAGCCGGTCACTTTAAGTATGGCTAACCAGTGTCAAGACTGACAGTGGGTTTAGTGAATTTTTTTTTTTTTTTTTTTTTTTTTCCTGGGGATTTTGAAGGTATTAGACGTTTGTGCAAAGACCACAAACTTATCTTGGAAACCATAAAGTGCGAAAAGTGTGGCACAGACTGCTGGACAGATTTAAGCAAAAAACGTTTTTCGGTGTGACAAATCTTGATAAATGAATAATAGGCGTGTCAGGTGCCAATACCAAAGATCAATTTTCAAGCTCACTTGGTTTGAAAATAGTAAACTGGACGTAAAAACTAATTTGTTTTTTGGTAATTTCTTTTTAAGAAATTATTTTTCTTATGAATTAATATGAGATGAATTAGGACTCTCGAAAAAAAACTGTATGTGACTGGGCGAGCTTTTGTCAAGAAGTATGTATCTCCTGGTGCTTGAATAATGTATCTGAAAAGATTGGTGGTCCTGAAAAAATAGTTTAAATAGATGAAAGAAGATTTGGCAAGTGGAAGTACAACGTTGGGCGTACTATAGAAAGGCAGTGGGTGTATGATGAGGTTGCCGTCAAACAAAATAAATATTCATGTCCCAGCGGCTTCTAAAGATGCAGAAACACTCCTCAGGATCATTAAAGAAAAAAATCGAGTCGGGAATGGCCATAATTAGTGATTGTTAGAAGGCATATAAATGCCTTTAACATGAGGGATTCCAAGATCTCACAGTGAACCACTCCATTAATTTCGTGGACCCTATCACATGAAGACTATTGAAAGGAGGTGGAGAGAGGCAAAGGCGAAAGTTCCCGCTGCAGCAGGAGAAAATATCACTTCGTGGGCTATTTGGCTCAGGCGATGTTTCAGATGAACATCCCCAAGACCAACAAGCGTCTGCATGAATTCCTCCTTGCTGTATATTTCATGCCTTTCCGTGCTATCAGGGCCAAGATTGTTGCTAATGGTGGGGTTTCTGTACAATTATTCTTACATATTTGGATAAGAATCCATCAATACCAAAATCATTATGATCCATTTACAATATTTTGTAAAATTACCAGATTAAGGATACATGTGGCAACAGATGCTGATATATCTCAATGAGAGCAACACACCCTCTAGAGATGAAGTCCTAAAAGTAGGTTGTCATGCAAACCTCAGAATCCAATCCTAACCCTTTTGACCGTGTTGATGATGCAACGTTTTCTAAGTCTGATTCCCAATATTCCTCAATATCTGATTTTGTTTCTTTTAAACATTTTTATGTGTCCTGAGTTATGGGATAATTTAATTCATGATCTTTTTTGGCTGTTTGCTCAGCAGTTTTATTACCTTTTATGTTTATATGTGAAGGTATCCATTGCTTTTTTTTCTGTTTTATTGAAGAGGTCAGTTTCAGTATTTCATAAGTAGCTGCATGTTATGTTTTTAATTTTTGGATTTGTGACTTTAGTGAATGTAACACTGGCTATGAATCTGTGAGAATAACTGAATCTGCTAGATTTTTGTGCTTACAATGGCTGCCTACAATGACTATTGTTTGTGTACATATGCTGTTGTGACATCATCTCGTTGTGCTTGCCTGGCTGCAGAGGTGGGTTAGATGGACGAGATGAACAACTTATCCCGGATGCCAAAATAGGGGTTGCAAACAATCAAAACGTCTTGTTCTGAAAAGAACATTCTGTCTTGTTTTCTAGCAAATAAATTTTAGGGAGTTTCCAAATTATCTACTTTTTATTATACTTAGTTGTAAATCTCACTTTCTTGCCCAGTCTGTTTTACTTTTTATTCCATTTTCTAAATTTTATGTTACAATTTCTATTAGGTTGAAATCCTGTTTGAAATCTTTTGAATTTGATATTGTTTTGGTTCCACCAGGTTAATCTCTTGGTAATTATGTTTCATATATATTTCCTAAGCCTGATCGTATATTTATAAATCTGTAGGAAGTAATTTCTTTAGGATTTTTCCCTGGTTTTACTATGGGATTTATTAAGGTTGGTTTGAATTTTGGGATATTGATGTGTTACCTTGTAATTTTTCAGATCTAAAAATACTAGAAGGATTTTATAGGGTGCAAATTTATTGAATTCTTAAGGAATGCTGTCTGGACCACAAGCTTTCTCATTTTTTGTATATCTGATTGCTCTAGTCAGTTCTTCCATGGTTATTAATTTACTTGTGTCTGTTTCAGTATTTTGTTCATATGTCTTCATTTTGTTTATAAGTTTTTTTGGTTTACTTTATGAAAGACATAAGAGACTTAAAGGAGTAAGGAGGAAGATGATGATGTCGGTTAGAGCTATTACTGAGGAGTATCATAGGACTCACAGCAGACTATGATAATGCCACAGTAGAAGTGGCAAAAGTATTTCTGATAATACTGCTATCATTGGTAATGATAATGATATTGAAAGAAATAATATGCTGCAAAAGTATCCAATTCAGATAACTGCCTTTCTCATGTCAGTTTCATTCATTCCTGCACACAATTTCCAACCATGCATTGACATCTTACCAAATGAAAGTCAAAATAGATATAAGCAAAAGTAAAGATCACCAAATTAAACAAACAGAAAAATGTTGTTTGATGTTTATACTGTGCCATTATAAGATTGGCAATCACATGATGTTAACCAAAGGCCTATAGCAACATTAAAAAGAAATAAAGAAAGAGCTTGGTATCAGTGCAAACACATTCTGTCAACCAATTGCTTGTCAGATAAGCCCTCACTCTTTTTCTCCAACATTAATTATTCTTGCCGTTATCAGTTTCCCAGCCCTCTATTATGGCTTAGACCATTGCCAGACAATAGGTTCAGACCTCTGGCAGCAAAATGCTGAGAGTTGACTCTTGTGTTGACAGAGGGGTTGATTCGAGATAAATCTTTGTCCATTTTATCACAAAGATAATATCCTAGAATTTGAATTAGGAAGCATTTTTACAACAAAGTTTGTTACAGCAAGGATAACTTTATTGTGCACCCAGTTATGTTGATTTTGAAAACATAAATAGTTTAGAACTGAGACATTTAGAAAGCTTACAGAATACATCTGTATTTTCTCCATTTATCCCTATGTTGAGGAATTGGCAAGAACACATGACATGCACACTATGTCTTTTTGATTATTGATTGTCTTTGCACATAGATAGCTTCACAAGTATTTAATCAGCAAGGAGTCAATAACTAATCCTACCTAGCTCACCTGTTTACCCTTTTCCTTCATTTTTGCAAAGATTTGTTTTATATTATTTCTATGAGTATTACTAATAACATTATAATAAACATAAAGTCAGCAACAATAATAACAACATTGGATATTAATAGTAATAGAATAAATTCCCCCCCCCTCAAAAAAAAAAGATAAATAAATAAGAAATACAAAAAAATAAGGAAAGGGAAAATCAGCTGAAGACACATAGGCTTACTAATTGGCTCCTTGGTGGCTGAGCACTTGTAGAGCCAACCATTGACAAATTTTACAAAAGAATATAACAGTAGACAGAATGATTACCTGACACCATTATGTTGAACATTTATGCACATAAGCTTAT